GTATGCTTGGTGCCTGGGGGGAGCAACAGTGGGAGGGCTTCTAGTGTCCTGGCCCCACGGCTGGACCTCATATCGAAAATCTGTAGGAGCTGCAGTGGCTCAAGTGCTTAAGACGCTGAACTGCAGGCTGTAGAAGGTTGGTAGTTCAGCAGTTCGAGACCCGGGTGCCACAAGACGGAGTGAGCTCCCGTCTCTAGTTCCAGCTCCTGCCAACCTAGCAGTTCGAAAGCAAGAAATTGCAAGTAGATAAATAGGTACCACTTCGGTGGGAAGGTAACAGCGTTCCGTGCACCTTGGTGTTTAGTCATGCCGGCCACATGACCACGGAAACGTCTTCGGACAGCGCTGGCTCTTCGGCTTTGAAGCGGAGATGAGCACCGCAACCCTAGAGTCGGATTCGACTGGCTTTCGAGCAAGGGAACCTTTACCTTTACCTTTTAATTTGACCCGCCACTGCGCGATCAGACACAGCGGTGGGTGAATTGGGGTCTTTCCTTCGCCACGTGTTCCTGGCGTGCTGCAACAAGGGATCACTGACACAATGGGAACGCGCCCACCCATTTGATACTGCACTTCCCCCAGTTCCTGCCCAGAGTCCCTATCTATACCTTGTGGCTAAGAGCCACCGATGGACCTCTGCTCCATATGCTTATCCAATTCCCTTTTGAAACCGTCCATGCTTGTAGCCACCACCACCACCTCCTGTGGCAGTGAATTCCATGCGTGAATCACTCTTTGGGTGAAAAGGTGCTTCCTTTTATCCGTTCTAACCCCACCACTCAGCAATTTCATGGAGTGCCCACAGAGTTCTTGTATTGTAAGAAAGGGAGAAAAGTACCTCTTTCTCTATCTGCTCTTTCCCATGCATAATCTTATAACCCTCAATCATGTCACCCCTCAGTCGTCGTTTCTCCAAGCTAAAGAGCCCTGTGCTACTTAACCTTTCCTCATAGGGAAAGTGTTCCAACCCTTTTATCATTCAAGTTGACCTTTTCTGCACTTTTCCCAATGCTGTAATATCCTTTTTAAGGTGTGGTGACCAGAACTGTACATGGTACTCCTAATGAGGACGCACCATTGATTTATACAGGGGCATTATGATACTGGCTGATTTGTTTTCAGTTCCCTTCCTAATAATCCCCAGCATAGCATTGGCCTTTTATTTTATTGCAGTCGTACACTGTCTCGACATTTTCAGTGAGTTATCTACCACGACCAGGGGTCATTTAGTAGAAAAAGAGGTGCAGGCGTTTATTAGCATAATTTCTTAGCATACCTTATTTGCATATGCCACGCCCCCTGACATCACCGGAAGTGTTTCAGAAGGCAACACCCACCGCTCAGGCTCCACTGGACTGTGTTGGATGGCTAGCTATTGGGGGAGGGGAACCTGCAGATCTGCCCTCACAGAGGAGGGAGAGCTTGTAACTGAATAAAACTTGGTCTTAAAGGTGCCACTGGAGTGTTTTGGATTGCTAGCTATTGGGGGGTGGGGGGAATGTGCAGATCTGTCCTCGCAGAGGAGGGAGAGCTTGTACCTGAATAAAACTTGGTCTTAGAGGTGCCACTGGACTGTTTTGGGCCGGGGGGGGCAGGGGGAGCTCTGCAGCTTACCTGGCTGCTTCTTGCTCTGACTGAGGGCTGCTGGGAGCAGGGGGTGGGCCTTGTTGCATGTGCCCGCCCCCTGGGCTCTTTACTGCTGGAGCTCCGCTTCTGTGCACTCCGGCAGGAAATGACCCCTGACCACGACTTCAAGATCTCTCCCTTGGTCAGTCTCTGCCAGTTCAGACCCCATCAACGTGTGAAACAAAACTTAATATGTTTAGATCAATATTAAGTCAAACGATGTTATCTTTAGATTGTAATGATGAAAAACTGATATTGTTGATGATATGAAGTAATTTGGAGCAGGGGTGGAAGCATTGTGGGAAGCCATTGGAGGGAGGGGAGGAACTGGGAATGGGGTAGACAATTGATAGAATGAAATGTTTTATATGTTGTATTCCTGAGAAAATAAAATTTGTTTACTAAAAAAAAAAAACGTGTATTTATAGTTAGGATTTTTGGCCCCAGTGTGCCTTTTAGTGGGACTGAAATGTGCATCTGGAAATGGACCGAGACTCTCAGCCAGTGTTTTAGTGTTTCTTCACTTCAAGATGCCTCCTCTTGACAGGGGAACCGCACCGTGATCAGCAGAGGAGTTGGTTCCCAGTTTAGTATTCTCTCTTCCTGGTTCCATGTCCCCCAACCTAACCGCAAATATTATTTCACTTTAAACAGCTCTGTTCCCCAAAGTGAACTTTTGGTCACACACGCATACCTAGCTGCTCTGGTGGTCATCATTAGGAATAAACAAGAAGCGGGGACCTGCAATACTTGCGGGGGGGGGGCGGCGGGAGGAGGAGCTCCATGCGAAGGAGGAGGAGGAAGCAGCTGCAGGTGAGCCTTCTCCCCTCCCCCCCCCCCCACAGCACTGATGGCAAGGCCTGCACAGCTCCCAGCCAGCTTGGTGCAGTGGTTAAGTGCGCGGACTCTAATCTGGGAGAACCGGGTTTGATCCCCCACTCCTCCACTTGCACCTGGCTGGATGGCCTTGGGCAAGCCGTCGTTCTGTCAGAACTGTTCTCTCAAGGGCAGTTTGTGTCAGAGCTCTCTCAGCCCCACCCACCTCACAGGGTGTCTTGTTGTGGGGAGGGGGAGGGGAAGGAGTTTATAAGCCGCTCCGAGACGCCTTTGGGTAGTGAAGGGCAGCAGGGTATAAATCCAATCTCTTCTTCTTTTACCTAATAGGGTGTCTGTTGTGGGGAGGGGGAGGGAAAAGAGTTTGTAGGCCGCTCTGAGGCTCCTTTGGGTAGTGAAGGGCCATGGGGTGTAAATCCAATCTTCTTCTTCTTTTACCTCACAGGAGGGTGTCTGTTGTGGGGAGGGGAAGGGAAAGGAGTTTGTGAGCCGCTCTGAGACACCTTTGGGTAGTGAAGGGCAGCAGGGTACAAATCCAATCTTCTTCTT